CGGCACAATTGCACTCGATGCGCAGACGCAAACGTCCCCACGCCGGCCGAACTCGGCCTCACCGCCGCCGAGGGGCGCATCCTCACCGCGCTGCGCACGCCGCAGCGCGTGCAGGAATATTTGTCGGCCCTCCCCGCCAATTTCGAGCAGGGACGGCGACAGCCTGCGGTCGGTGCGCGGCGTGCTGCGCCATCGCGAGGCCCATTGCCTGGAGGCGGCCTTCGTCGCGGCCTGCGCGCTGTGGCTGCAGGGGGAGCCGCCGCTGGTCATGGACCTGACGGCCACGCGCGAGGATTCCGATCACGTCGTCACCCTGTTCCGCCGCGACGGCTGCTGGGGCGCGATTTCCAAGAGCAACCATGCCTGGCTGCGCTGGCGCGACCCGGTCTATCGCAGCCTGCGAGAGCTCGCGATGTCCTACTTCCATGAATACTTCAACAAGGGCCGCAAGACGCTGCGCACCTATTCGACCTCGGTCGACCTGCGCCGCTTCGCGCCCGAGACGTGGATCACCAACGAAGACGATTGCTGGGACGTCGGCGCCGCGCTCGACGATGCCCGCCACTACCCCCTGATCAAGCCGGCGCAGATGCGCTGGCTGATGCCGCCCGACGCCACCGTGCTGCGGGCCGACGACATCGTCCAATACGAAAGCCGCGATCGCAAGACGGCCCGCAAATACTGATCATCAAGGGAGCGCGACATGAGACGAGTCCTCTCGACCCTGCTGCTGATCCTGCTCGGCGGCGCCACGCCGGCGGCCGCGCAGAATCCCCGCCGAATGGCAGGCCGCCGCCCAAGCCGTGATCGGCGAACTGGAGCGCGACACGCCGCAGGCCGCCAAACCCTGGACCGGCGGGGAGCTGACGCAGGGCTGGAACCTCGCCCGCGCCTGGCGGCGGCACAACAACGGCAACATCGAGATCATCCTCGCCGAGTACCTGATGTTCGTCGCGCTGTGCCGGATCGGCTGCGCCGGCAGCACGGTCGAGGGCCAGGGCTATGTCGGCGCCGCCGAACAGGTGAAAGCGTTGATCGCCCAGAACGGCGGGTCCTACGCGCTGGCGGCGAACGCCAACACGTGGCTGGCCGCGATCCCCGATCCGACGGGCGCCGCCCAGAAGAACGTGGCCCTCTGGCAGAAGGATCCCGACATCGCGTCGGCCGACTTCGCGACCGGCAACATCTACGCGCTGAGCTGGCTGCTGGCGCGCAAGAGACCGACGCCCGAGGCCCAGGCCGACTCCTTCGCCCGCTTCGCGATCCTGGTGCAGGGCAAGGCCTGGATCGGCACGCGCTGCCTCGACATCACGAAGGTGGCGACCGTCCTCGGCGCCGCCCCGCGCATCGATACATGCCAGTAATCCCGTCGTCCTGAGCGATAGCGAAGGACCTTGCCGAGCGACCGGCGGACTCCCGTGCCGGCGTGAGGTCC